TATATATATATATAATTATTTTACATTTTTACGTGATTTATTGGACAGATATTTTACTTTCTGGTATTTTTTATAAGTTTTAAGAATACGAAAATATCATGTTTTTAAGAGAAAAGATACGACGCAAGAAACTTTTTATATGTCATTTCTCGCCTCTGACGTCACACAATCCATGTCACGCTGCGAAAGAATCGAGGCCTAACTTTTTAATACATTTGATTCAATGTTTTAGAAGATAGTTGATATTCTTAAAAAAGATTTTATGGTTTATTTCTCAGTTATATGCATTATTTTTTACATATTTTCATTGCATATTATCTATACTAATAAAATATTTCAGAATTTGAGATTTGAGTAACCTCTGTATCTAACAAAATTACCTTTTAAAAAGGTAAAAATAACGCCAAGTTCAAGAACGCGCCCTTTCCTTATTTATGTAAAAGAAAGAATTTTATACAAAAATTTCTATCTACAAAAGTCTTTTTAGTAATAAATTTTATATTTGTACAAGAGATCTCTAATAACACAAGGACGTCCTATTAGATGAGTCGGATATATTGAGGATTACCTATTATGATCCTGAAATATAAACAGGACGTGGACAGCATCCTGTGGACAGCAAATGAGCGCGTCCTCGAGATGTCCTCAGGACGTTCTCCACTTAGCCTCAAGCTATCCTGAGGACTTTTTTAAGACGATTTTAGAATGACAGGATGATTTCAGGGACATCTTGAAAACGATCGCGTTCTGATATTGCTGTACTGAAAATCTATAATATACGTAACTCCTTACGGAAAATAAGTGAAAAAAATATAAAAAAATGAAAAAAAAGAGAGAAAGTGATGAAACATTATTTATCTCGTATCATCACATGTTTCTAAAATCGGTCACCCAACCACTTGAAGATTCTGCTCGATGTCGCTTAATCTCTGTATTGGGATGAAACCTGCTACTGAAATAAGTGATTAGAGGATCTTGGCTTAAAATATGATAAATCTAGTTAATGAATGTTACTATATTGTCGTATAAATAGTCTCAATTTTAAAATTTCGATTACACATGTAATTTTTGTAGATAATTTAATTACATATATAGAGCCGTGAACCTATTATTGTTGCGAGCGCCAAGAAGGACACAACATAAACTGGTGGCAGCAGTGGGATCGTTTCGGAGCAGCAGCAGCATTCAGTGATCTAGAAAAGATAAACAACCAAATTCAAGAAGAAGGCTGAAAGAAGAAGAGCTGAAATCCCAGCAGAGAAAGATACCTGGTAGAGCGACAACGCCAAGCATATTAGCGACATCGGAGAAGCAGGAGAAGCAAATGTCTACGATCACGATTGTAGTTTATTTAACTGAGCATGCTAAGTCCCAAGCTCCGTCATCGGAGTTCGATATATTCTTCAACTTACATGCTAACCATTCATTTATCTTAATTAATTACTGGCTCTCTTCTTTCGCGATACATACGATATATGTGCTCTAGAC